TTTCTCCCAGGGGGGAGGAAACCCTCCCCTTAACCCCCCTGTTTCTCGACGGGATCCTGCCGGTCGGGCCGGTCAGTAGACCGACTGCAACCTTTCAGCCCCCGCCTCAGACCCCCATGGAGGCCCGCCAGGAGGCTAAGTGTCCGGAGATTGGCCGGGGGCCTGATCTCTCCGGGCGGCCGTGACCGGTCAGCGGACCGTGTCAGCAGGCCCGTGACATGTCAGCCGGCTGACAGGGGCCGTGACCCGGCTGACAGGCTCACCTGACCGGTCACGTGACACATCACGTGACCGAGACAAGACTTTTTTATATCGCAGATCCAAAAACCCATAGGACATTTCTCCCAGGGGGAAGAAAACCTCCCTTGACCCCCCTGTTTCTCGACGGATCCTGCCGGCCGGGCCCGTCAGTAGACCGACTGCAGCCTTCAGCCCCGCCTCAGACCCCCTGGAGGCCCGCCAGGAGGCTAAGTGTCCGGAGATTGGCCGGGGGCCTGATCTCTCCGGGCGGCCGTGACCGGTCAGCGGACCGTGTCAGCAGGCCCGTGACATGTCAGCCGGCTGACAGGGGCCGTGACCCGGCTGACAGGCTCACCTGACCGGTCACGTGACACATCACGTGATCGAGACAAGCATTCCATGGCATTTACTAATGCCCGTCCGTTGTTGTTTTCGAATGGGGTCTTTGGGCCCTTGATTTTTCATCCGCGTTGCCGTTGAAATTTTGTACCGTAAGTTTTGAACTGCCTTGAAATCCTGATATGTTTTCATCATTCCTGCAAGCTGTTTTATTCTTATATGAGTTGTTTATCAATGAACTTTATCATTTTCATTTTTGAAAAGGTTGTTGTTCGGCTACACGCCTTTACACGCGGGCCGCTAGAGGTCGGATCTTCAATTCAAACATCATGCCCCCCCGGCCACTGAGCTGATCATATCCAGATTTCTCTTCCTCTGCCCGTCGCTATGCCATGCATCATGTGTAGGATTTTCCGCTCTTCCGTTCACTCGAGTTTCAAGTGACAACTATAAACATGTCGGAAGTCTCCCTGGCTTATCAGCCGACCATAACATTTGGAGCTGCTTTTGGATCAGGGTTCAGTCAACGTCCCTTTGTCAGATGCTTGTTTGCAGATGCATCTATACATTTTTCATTACTACGTCAAACATGGTTTCAAGCTCCTCCTCTTGATTGCAATGATATGGAAGAGTTGATGAGATTCTTCTGGTTTCAAATCGAATCGCGTCCAATGACAATTCTTCAGAGAATTCTGCCAGCTAGAACCGCGAATTATGGACGATATTATATCAGACACCAGTCAAATAGAGGTTTGGAATTCCTTGCTGCATTCGAGGGATTCGTAAAAGAAGATGGCACCCCAGACGTTCTTATGTTCCTGACAAGGATCGGACAGGGATACATGTTCTCTTCTACCTCAATTTTTGGCAGCACATTTCGTCGGTACTTCAAGCTTCTAGAGGACTACAACACATTGCAGAATGAGAACGCACGTCTAAATCAAGAGATTGTTGCTTTGCGGGAGAAGTCAGAACAATTGAAACCTTTATTTGATGTTCAGAAACTCACATTTGCCAACTTATGGCGCACGATTTTTCCGAAGAAGGAATATCCACAAGGTGTTGACAGCATGTCAGAAAGTGATCATCTCGGATACCTGAGAACAGTTTTGAGTTGTCTACAGCCCGTCATTTGTATTTTGGAATCTTGCTTGCAAAACTTGAGTCCTGGTTATTCAATCAGCAAGATGTTTGGTTATCTGATTGCAATACCTCAGAGAAAAACCTCTGTGTTGAATTTGGAAAATTTTCTTTCCGGTTTTTCATCCTCGATCACAAAAACTCTCAGATGCCGTATCCTCTCAAACAATTCGATACGTATGGCTCTGCGTAGAATTTCTTCATGTTTGATGCCGACTGCTGAACAAATTGCAAGGGAGTCCCTGGAGAGGGGAATTTCGCATAGCTCTATTTGTCATGTATACTCGATGTATCACTACACGGGTATGATGCCTTGTCCCAAATTGGTCACAACTTCAAGAGCTCAGATCAAAAAGCATGTCCAAGAATTATTGGGGCTTGTGGAAACTGCAGATGGATACAGAATTCCTCTTGAAAGGAGACTCGAACTGCATTTGATGGAATACATGGAACAACAACATGTTCATCTGTTGGACATCAAAAAGTTGCTTACATTGCTTGCGTTCGACGGAACAAGACTGGGTTCATCTGCTCAATCTAACTCATCGCATTGTGAATTTACCCTAACCTGCGCAGCTGTCTTTTCAAGATTTGTGGAAACACTTGTTAGGCAGCAGGAAGATTTTCTTAATTCCCCACTGTCTTTAGCTACATTTCTTTTAATATGTATGGATGATACTATCGAAAATGTGAAGCGAAATTTTTGGGAAATGTATTTGCAAGAGCTGATTGCGCTCATCAAAGACACTACCTTAGATAATGGGAAAATTTTAAAGGCTGGGCTGCATTTCTATCGCGATCCTGAAACCAACCAACTTACCTGTCTTGGAGGTCGGGCACGGACAGCATCTTCTCTGGAAGATGTTCCAGAGGTGGTATTGCCCCTTGAAATTTACTTCAAGGGTGACATGAAAGGGTTTTGGAATCTGGTTGCGATGAAAGGTATCCGTGGAACGCACTGCTGCTTGTTTTGCAACATCAGTACAAGTGCAAAGCATGAGATGTTTCACATAATCAATGTCGAGACAGAGCAATCTGTTTCTAATTTTTGTGCGGAAGTGTCGATACCTGTAGATTGCTTTTGGATTCTCAACGACGGTGCAGCTGAAGGCGGTTCAAACATTGTTCAATTATGTATGTTCAACCGCCAAACTCTCAGTCAGGCTGACAAGGCTGCTCTGCGAAGTTCAAGATCATCAAATATGTTGCACGCAGGGCAAAGGGTAGTGGTTTTGAAGCAAGATGAATCTTTCACGCGACAACATGACATGCTCAACCAATGTGGCTTAACATGCAAAAGTATGATTCTTTGCATGCTTCATCTCAAGCTGAGGATTACTTCATGCTTTGTCAAGTGGTTTTACAAAACAGCCACCAAGATGAGATTGCTCCAAGCTGTCAATCGTGTATTGGTGACATCTGGAATCAATTACAATCTGGAAGGATCATCTGATAGACTACCAAGCTTGAATGGTGAGCAGTGCGATGATATGGTGGAAGTTGCTCTACCAAGAATTGTTGATGTGTTAATCAACGATTCTGTACTGAACAATCAGTTCCAAGAGGTTTTCAAGATCTGGTCTCGAATCCTTTCTACAATCACAAAAACCCACAGAAATTATTTTCAACCCGGAGAGATAGAATCCCTACAAGGAAGGATCAATTCGTTTGTAATCAAGTACGTGTCTTTGACTGGCGACAAACAAATGTTTTCAGCAATTTACTTCCATATGTTGAGTTCGGGACATGTCTCAGACCTTTTCCGTCATCACATGGATGTGAATGAACTGCCCTTAGGACTTCTCAGTATGAGTACCAACGAGTTAAGACATAAGGTAGAGTTTGCATTGAACTTCGAACCTCATTCTTGCGTACTTAATGTACTTATCAGTTGCGGGGAAGAGGAGCATGGAGGCAAGCGGGTGCCCAAGCGAATAAGAACATGAAAAGGGATCTAGCGGCGGCAGGTTTGGATAAAGACAACGATGATCCTGAGGTTATCAGGCAGGCAGCGAAAAGACACAGAGGTTTGTACACGTTCATAAACATGGCGTGTAACCAGTTTGTCACGGGTAAAGCAGTTGAAAACATGAAGCAAAAATTGAAAGAATAAAGCAAAAAGACTAAGGTTGTGGTGGACAAGGTTGTTGACATTTGTATCTCTCCCATAGGACTCTTGATGGCGTCCCTCCCACGCTTCCAATGCCTCCAAGTGACCATACAAAGTTACCATTGCGAGTGGATACAACCAATGGCGAGGCTACAAACATTTGTGTCAGATTGTCTTGTAATTGAGGAGAGTTTTTGCATGGGAATTCCAAGAAAGTTTGAAATGACTTATCTTGCAAAATCACTTCTGGAATGGTCCACGAATATTTCCATTCTCTCCTTTCAACCTTCAAATGGTTCCATAATTGTGCTGGAATGAGTCTCAACAGTGCACAAAATGAAATCTCATGGCTTTTGAATTCATACTCACGAGTTCCCTTCTTCTCAAAGGTCTCACTTCTTGACTTCAACCACTGATTCAGCTTCTTTTTGACTTCAGTCATATCTCGACAAATCCGATTGTACTCCGACGCAGAACAGAAAGTTGTTTGCACCATCTTTTCAACGAGGGATGCCGGGTTTGCCATGGAGAAGTGAGAGATTTCACAGTATTTGTTCTTTTTGACATTGTCTTCATGAAAAAATATGTACCCATGCACTCTGAAATTATCCTCGAGATCATCGTTGGCATGATCCAACATGCAAGGAAAGCTGAAGAAACAAATGTTTTGTATAGCTTTTACATCGACCGTATCCTTGTAACTTGATTGAAAGCAATCACGGTTTCCAATTTTGGTCAAAATTCTTTTCAGGGCCACACAGGGTACTCGATTAGTTGTAATGTTCTCGTCTACATGTTCCAAGAGGACTCGATCATACATGATGTACACTTCGACAACCTGTGCATCTGAATCCAGCGATTTGATCATCCCCAGTCGATTCACTTCAACGCCCCTGTGATCTTCACACTGATATTGAACCCCTATGCCAGGCTCAAGTCTGATATTCAAATCACTCCTTGGCTTGTTCCAGTACATCCTGGGCAAGTCTCGATCATCAACTGACATCTGCAGGATCATTGGAAGCCTCAAATCTTCAGGTATCTTTGACTCATCACAAGTCTCTTCCTGCTCCAAGGATGTGTCGAAATCTTCCTGCCTTCGCCTTTTCTGAATTCCATTTGATGCTGATACACGACGAGGAAGATTCATTTGTTCACAGTGTCTTAACTGGGGCCGCTGTGATGAATAGGGGAGCAGGCGGTGAGGAAAGGGAGCAGGGAGGGGCAGGGAAGCATGGAGAGAGGGAGGGGAACCCCCCACACCTGGCTAGTCCGATGTACGACCGGTAATTTATCATATAATTTAGGCATAAAGGTGGGGTAGGAGTATATACCCGTAGGCGAGTGACCCCTACGATTTCAAGAAAAATATTTGCTGTTTGATTGGAAACATGGGAACCTGTGTTCCAGAAGTACCCTACAACACATAGGGTAGGTAATGACAAAATAACCGGTACAGGAAAAAAACGATTGCCGTTGCTAGCTGACGTACGACTCCTTGATTTGAAAACAAAAATACTTATTGGCTGGATTTACTACACTCGTCAATTGCTGACACTAATAAGATTTCATGGGCGTGTATCGAAATATACGAATAACCCTACCCCCTCAATATCAGACAAACATACCGGTACACAGGGTAGAGAACAGCCAAGAGGCGTGTAAGCCGGAACTCAAATGCTTAAAACAAATATAAAAGAGTACTGAGTGGTACAAATGGATCTGGTACAAAATTGACTAAAGACTGTATGCTTATGATCAAATTAACAGGTACAAGTGTTTGTTAAAAGGATATAAATTTATAATTGGGCATTAGTAAATGCCATGGAATGCTTTTTTATATCGCAGATCCAAAAACCCATAGGACATTTCTCCCAGGGGGAAGAAAACCTCCCTTGACCCCCCTGTTTCTCGACGGATCCTGCCGGCCGGGCCCGTCAGTAGACCGACTGCAGCCTTCAGCCCCGCCTCAGACCCCCTGGAGGCCCGCCAGGAGGCTAAGTGTCCGGAGATTGGCCGGGGGCCTGATCTCTCCGGGCGGCCGTGACCGGTCAGCGGACCGTGTCAGCAGGCCCGTGACATGTCAGCCGGCTGACAGGGGCCGTGACCCGGCTGACAGGCTCACCTGACCGGTCACGTGACACATCACGTGACCGAGACAAGACTTTTTTATATCGCAGATCCAAAAACCCATAGGACATTTCTCCCAGGGGGAAGAAAACCTCCCTTGACCCCCCTGTTTCTCGACGGATCCTGCCGGCCGGGCCGGTCAGTAGACCGACTGCAGCCTTCAGCCCCGCCTCAGACCCCCTGGAGGCCCGCCAGGAGGCTAAGTGTCCGGAGATTGGCCGGGGGCCTGATCTCTCCGGGCGGCCGTGACCGGTCAGCGGACCGTGTCAGCAGGCCCGTGACATGTCAGCCGGCTGACAGGGGCCGTGACCCGGCTGACAGGCTCACCTGACCGGTCACGTGACACATCACGTGACCGAGACAAGACTTTTTTATATCGCAGATCCAAAAACCCATAGGACATTTCTCCCAGGGGGAAGAAAACCTCCCTTGACCCCCCTGTTTCTCGACGGATCCTGCCGGCCGGGCCGGTCAGTAGACCGACTGCAGCCTTCAGCCCCGCCTCAGACCCCCTGGAGGCCCGCCAGGAGGTTAAGTGTCCGGAGATTGGCCGGGGGCCTGATCTCTCCGGGCGGAAGCACCCGATGATTTGCATATTTTGCACCACCTTTGAAGCTTTGCACCAATTTTTGGGCTTCCATGAGGTTTTGGCTTCTTGCAAGTACTGTGAAAGTA